TCAGAGAGTAAAAATCCAGACCGGGATTTTGTTTCAACCAACCAGTTGAGCATAAAGAGTTACAGTCACAGAGTATTCAACTGGTTGGTTGAAGCAAAATCCCGGTCTGGATTTTTACTCTCTGAACCTAAATTACCCAACTCTGCTGCTTCAGCACAGGGGTGTCAGATGGACCAGAATTACCCAACTGATAGTAGATGGCTGATGGCTGAAATTGGAGACAATTAAATTGCTGTAATCATGGTGTGATATTAGACAAACTACAGAGATACATATATTGTGTTTTTGAATTGCAAAATATATTTTTTCCTCTTCAGAGGCAGTTCCTAACGATCCAGATATTCTCTCATTAACAAGGGAAGATCTTAATGAACTCCTGCCAGGTGAAAGTAATGTTCTATTTCGGAGACAGATCATGCATCTTATCAAGGTAAAATATAAAAATTGCATGTGTGCCTCAGTGGGTGAGGCTGCTGTGCCTGTAATTGGATGGTTGCTTGCTCAGATCCGATGGTTGATGGAGTGATTTCACTGTTGGGCCCCTGAGGAAGGACTTTAGCCCTCAGTTAATCCAGGGACTGTCTGACCTCCATTTGCCAAACAAAAAGAAAAAAGTACGTCGATTCAGATAAAAACGTGTGCTAAATAATTTTGCACAAACCACTGTATTTGTAGTGTTTACTCCTCTCTATTGTGTGTTTTGTGTCTTGTATGTATTCTCTGTGTAATGTTAATTGTCTATTGTCAAGTCCCTAACAGTAGCAAACTGTACCAAGAAAAACTTCCATTGGCCATGGTTGTGTGGCAATAAAGATTCTGATTATTATGATTATTCTGAAATGTCATATAATATATTTTTTCTGTAATTTGACTAAATGTCAAATTTAGTAGACTGAACCGTTTAGACTTTTCCAGAACTTGCACGTTTTCTGCCTTCTCATACATAGCATCAGTGGAATTGCGTATTCCCTTATCTCATCACACTTACCCTCATCCCCAAAACTAATACATAGTACTTCCATATGGTTTGTGCTGATTTGATGGCTTTTATGTCCTTAATGAGTTCACATTTTTACTTAATTTTGTGAATATTGCTTTGATTAACGTGACGTGTTTTTCATGCTCAGAAGGAGCAAGTTGGACAAAGTGTGGATTCAAGCGTAGCTGATGTCACAAGTAAGTTGTCTAAGATACTATGATTGTTATACTACAACTTCATAATGTATAACATTTCCTTAAGAAACTCTATTGCAGAAAGTGCAAGCAACAGCATCTATCAGTGCCCACACTAACCTGTTTGGTTTCTCCTTTCCACAGAAGACAAACCTGTCATCCTGGTGTTCATGCACCAGTGTCAGAGCCCCAGTCACAAGACCAACGTCACAGTGCAAATGTCCAGGACCAACACAGTGGAGAAAATTACCCACTGTGCCTTCCACAAATCATTAGAGCTGCCGCAATGCCAGGAAACTGAGGAAGCAGTCAGCAAAGTGTATTTACTGTAGCACTGCAGAGGTACAAGTTCAGAAACAGGCCCTCTGCTGGGGAACCGAGTATTATAACACAAATGATGTGCACACACCCAGGATATTAATCAGTTTAATTAGTTATCCTCAAAAATTGCAAGCACAACATGTGATTACTCTGCTGTGGGTGGAGAATATTTATAATTGAGAAATACCCAGATACCAAATATGCAAGAAATAATGTGCACGAGTTAAAGATATACAAGCTATAAAGCAAGAAATTAAACTGCAAGAAATTACACAGTTTACATATCAACAATTCAGGCGGATATTGAAAATCTTAATAATATAGTATATGTATAATTTGATAATATGAGGGGCCGTTTAGGAAATATTTCAGACAAAAAACAAACACATTTGAAACACATACACATTCACATATGAAACTGTCACGCATGCATCCATACTACTGAAAACTCACACATACATATATGAAACAATCATACAGATACGTGTAAAGGCCGATTTCCTCAGTTGTGTACGTGTGATGGGAGGCTGAAGGAGAACTATTATTACAAGCGACATGGCTCGGCGTCCCACTATTACAATACTTTTGTCTAAAATCTCTGGTGCTCATTTAACTTGTCAGGGTTTATTAGCGGGATAACTTTTCATTGTTTTTTATTTGATTTTTTAATGTCTGAAATGTAATTTTTATTTGACTGCACTAATTACAGACGTCGGCAGCGCTACTGAAATGACAGCTTGTTAAATATAATTATCTCCGTAGTGGGACCATACATAGCCTATACGTGCACATGCGAACATTCAGAAGTTAATTAAAATTCGCACGTGAATAAATTATGAAAAACAGGAGGTATGCAACAATGCGGCAATAAACTCAAAATGCTGAACCAATATCTCTGTACATCTGAAATCGTAGCTATTAATAGCCGACTTAGCACACAAATTATTTAGCATGTGAAAATCTTATCGAATATGAAAATGACTTTAGCGCGGTAGGCTAACGTGACGCTTGCATAGCGGATCTTTCATCTGTTTCATTTTCACTTTCGTACTGTACATAGAGTGGAATCGACACCTAAGGAAATAAAGCCAAATAGCCTACATAAAATAACCATGTGTAATCCGGTAAGCTGCGTCCGCAATGTATTATTTGAGTAACAGCATCCGGCTGCTGTAATTATTCTAAAATTTTAGTTTTAAGAAATGAAAGTAGACTAACTGCCGACTGTAAATATGACAAATATGAAAAATAAAACGTGACACGTTTAACGGTTATAGGCTAGTATATATTGCATCCAATAGTATAAAATGCATTACGACGTAATCTTTTCCCTCATAGGAATGTCATTCTGAAGTTATGTCCTAATTAAATTAAAATCAAGGGAGTAGATGTGGGTTTGGTCGGTAGATTCATGCCCCTATGGATAATGTGTGAGTAGCCTACCGGGTGTTTTTAGATAAGGTGCGGAGGTGCGGAGCTGATTTCTTCTCGACAAATTTTGAACCGATCCTACGCCTTCGTCTACATCTTTTTGTTCCAAAACTAAATTACTCGATTTTATTACTATTTGTGGAATGTAGTCTGTACAAATGTTGTCACTGTGTATGATTTCAGACGAATCTGCCGAGCTGTTGCTCTCGAATCATGAACGCAATTCGTGGTAAGTTTGCCGATTGTAATACGGTAGACATAGGCCTAATAAATTTACAAACGCAGACACAGTCATAATAATAATAATAATAATAATAATAATAATAATAA